GTCTATTAAACATATTGCTATTGAATAACATGTGAAAAAAGCATCTCCTTTTTCAAAGGCATATCAAATGTTTTATTAAACATGTTTTTTTTAAAGCAGTTTAGTAGTGTTTGAAATCTGAAAATATGGAGAAACTTATATTTGAAATTCACAAAACATAAAAAAATTCAAAAACAGAATTAGCAAGAAACTTTAATACCCCAATAGTACTAATAGCAATTGGATTAATGGCATCTCAATAAATCTTTTACTACTAAGTGCTGATAAGTATGGACACTAAAAAATGCTTTATTTGCAAAACTAAAAAATGCTTTTATTATTAGTTAATAACTCCTAAAAGATACGAGCACCAATTTTTTGGGTATTGATAAATTTTAATTTAAAGTGATTAGGATAATGATCAAACTAGTCTTTTACCCGTGCGTTGCACGGGGTGACGAATTAACAAATTATCTAAGAACTTACCAATAGTTCCGAGGCTTATTCAAGTGCACATAAATTATTTCCATTGTTAACTTTATTTCCGAGTCATTGCATATATGAATTTCAACTCTTGTCGGTTTGAAAACCTCATGCAGTTGTAACTTATTTTTTTTTAAGTTTATACATGTAATATTGGTGTCATATGAAAGCTCATAAAAAGTTGTGAATTTTAAGACGTAGTATATTTTTTGTGAAAATAGGAATTCAAATGAAAAAGTTGCCACACTAAAGAAAAATAAGATGTTATTTTATATACATGGCCCCAACTTTAACTTATTATTTGTTCATTCGGAAGAGGGGTTTCCAAATAGCTTCTATTTGTTCTAAATACTATTTCATTCGGATTAAAACTTTCCGAAAACCCGTATCTTCATACCCTAAATCATAGTACGTGTTTTGGCATCAAAGTTTCAAAACCCCCGTATATTTAGAATTTCCTCCATTTGTATCCTCAGCATATTAAGAATTTCTGTAAAGCGTTTTAGGTGGTACAGATCCTTAGAGAAATGTGCTCAAATGAGAACTCGTTTTTCTTAATCTTTGTGTTCTCTATAAAACTTAATCTATAGAGATTGTGCTCTTATTTTGTCTTTGAAATCCGAGCCATAAGCATTCTCGACCGTAACCCGTCTGCACACACCTAGATGTACAGATTTGTAAAAAAAATCTATTATGTTTGACTAATAAGATAATTTCATATCGCTTGTGCACACTTCAATTATATGTAATGCACATAACATAAAATCTGGTCATTTCAAAAGATGCACTTTAGTAGACACGTACAATTAAAAAAGAAAATGTAACCATTATAAAAAATAAGATAGTAACCAAAATGTTTTCCGAAATTTAGGGATATGGGATGTTTTTCGTTGATTGTAAGCAAAAAATAAAAAAAGAAATTTTTTAGGAATATGGTTTAACGGTTCAAGCATTTTGTTAAGTAATTTTACAATCATACCCTTCTAGGAACTGAGACCAATTAAATAATGCACACAACTCAAATACCGACATTTTTAGTAACCCGATTTTGGTTTCTCCTTCCCATCCTCCTTCTAAAGCACCATCTCTCCCAAAGTGTTCAAGCATGTCATGTTGTATATCATGCCGAGTAATAAATTGTAGTACAAATTATGTGTTTAGACACATATGAAACCTCAAGTTGCATTGAAATAAGTCAAATAACAACTTTATACTCTTAAGACTCTGCAAGTCCCCAAAAACTTCTTTGTACCAAGGGATCAGATCCGCCTTAGCACGCGTGTGCTTCTTAGGTCTTGGTGTTGAATGTTGCTTACGAAACATAATGTTCATTAGAAAAGATTGTGATGATGGAATGTTCTCAACTGGGGAAAGTGTAGGGTGTAAGCTTTCCACAACATTACTTTGTCGGATTTTATCCATATACGGAGTAATTAATTGCATGCAAACCATTGCAAGACTTCACAATACTAAAAGGTGGTTCAGCAACGGGCACAGCAGCAGATTTATGTCCATTTTACCAGTTCCATAATGATTATTTAACAAAGACTTACAGAAATCGAGTGTTCTCTTGCAGTTAATCAAAATGGAAAAAAGGAAAAGATCTAAAAAGAAAAGCTACACTTTGCAAAGAGGAAATAATGTGACTGCAGTTTGTAAAGAAAATGAAAAAAGTGAACCATCATGGTGTTCTAAAACCATAGCTCAAGAATATGACATATTGACATAATGACAATGAACCAAATAAGATAGTCATGAAAGTTTACATGTTGGAATAAAAGACAGTGCAAATAGACAAAACACACACACACATATATAATCATTTTTAGCAGTAATTATCGCACCACTTAATCAAGAGAAGTGGTATGCATGTCATTAACACCTTACAGAAGCTGATTTAGATTTCAGAACAAAGCAATTGCAAGAATAGAAAAAAGTGCAAGAAAAGAAAAACTGCATATTTTTACTTGGAATAAGACTTTAAACCGCTGCACAATAATGGTTTAAGAAGAAAAATGCAGAAGTGGTTTCCTCATTAATACTTTTCTTAATAACCGGCTCTACTAAAATTCCAGAGAACCAAGAGCCAAAGCTAATTACCAAAGTATGTAATGTGTAGTATCATTCTGCTCTAGAAAATTAAAATATCCTATCTTAACTAATTAAAATGGTAGAATGCACAGGGGAAAGTTGCATTATGCCTAGTATGTCCCAATAAATCTAAATGCAAATAAAAAAACTCATACTCATTATGCCAAATAAAGCTGAAGTGAAGTGCATGTGTTAGTAAATCTGAATGCACAGGGGAAAGTTGCATTATGCATTATTTTAATTTTACTGCCATTGCTATGTTTAATTATAGCCCAATTTGAGAAAAAAGATAAAAAACATAAATTAACATTTCTACCATTCCATTTTTGTTAAAAATCTTATCCAGTAAGACAACAAAAGATTTCAACAAAAAAATGCATTTAACTTTTCTCTTATTGTCATCATTGTATTGAAACCTTAGCCCATAAGAAAAGAAATAAAGAGAAAACAACATTTTTTCTTCTTGCCATTACTGTGTTCTAAGATCCTAACCAAAGAAGGATTAAAAAAAGTGCATCATACAGCCCCAAAGTAGAAGTAATTAATAAAGGAAAAAACTCCAATTTCAAATATTAGAGAAGTGCATTTTTATTATATAAACGAAAAAAAGACGATTTTTACAGAAGAGAACAAAAAAGTGCAGTATTTTCTTCTGATATTATCATTTCTTATATTATTAAAGACAACAAAAACAGAAAAGTGCACTTTTTTCTTCTCGTCACCCTTGTTCTATAAAATTTTAGCCCATGAAAAGAATAAAATAGTGGAAAAGAGATCTTTAAATTTTCTCTTAGGCAAATATTGCAAAGAAAAGAATAAATGTAGATGATCATACCTCTTATCGGTATAATGTTCTCCACTCATAGTGGACCTAAACTCTCAAAGTGAAAAAATCAGAAAACAACTTAATTTTAAATACCACATAAGTAAAAAAAATCCCAGAGTATTAGACATGAAGCAACAAATTGAGTCTTAGACATGAGTATAGGTCCACTCTGAGTGGAGAAAAAATCAGAAAACGGCTTAATTTTAAATACCACGCCTATACGGCATATTATTGAGAGATGAAAATGCAAAAGAGGCATAAACCTTGCCCTTAAAAAATTGCCAGCTCCTTCTAAATAGGAAAGGACTACCTTTCTATTCTATCATAATCATTTTAAAAATAGTTAAAGAGAAAGTATATATTTAATCAGACGTTAAGAACCAATGAAGTAGCAGTTAGATTCCCTTCTTTCAATTGTGAGAAAGTTGTACCTATGATGTTGGTTGTATGTATGCACACCTAAATGAGAGTAGAATATTTCCATGGTGTTTGACCTCAGGCCCATGTAAACATTAGAGAAAAGTGGTTGAGTTCATTTCTGCCATGATGTTATGATATTGATTAGCAAACAAATCCAAGGCATATAACATGGCTTTAATTTCTGCATGTGACATAGAAAAATTACCATTAGATATACAGCAAAGCAATACAAAACCTTAACTACAAATTAAGACTTACAATTTATGACACAAATTAGACCCACAAATAGTTATATATTAGAGGCAAATAAGGTCCACAATTAAGTGGTTAGGGGCAAATACGGTCCACAAACACCATGTCACAGAGCACCCTTGTATTAGACTTGGGGATTAAGTAAATTTGGTAATACAGTCATAATAACATAACCAGCAAAAAGAATGGTTGAGTGAAAGAAATCAATGAGACTAAAAGTCCTGAAAACAAAAGATTTCAAATTTAATATAGTACATATACATTAAAGTTAAAATTCAGAATATAATTTAATAGATGCTCCTAGACCACTGGAAGGATTTGCCTAGTTTTGGTAGTGGATGCTAACAAATGAAATGAAGAATGTAGTGAAGTAGTGAACGAACCTAGATTGAGACCTTAATTCAATCGGATGAACTGAGATGGATTAGAAAATTTCGAGCAAAATTGATGCAAACCAAAATAGATAATATGCTTATCAACAAATGAAATAAAGAAATTAGTTAACGAACCCTAGATTGAGACTAAAATTCAATCTCATGAAGCAGAGATTGATTAGAGAAGGTCGATCGATGTCCGTATACCTCTTCCTCACCCGCATCCTCATAGTCATCGAGCGCCTGTAGTCATTGGCCAAGCATAGACTCTTACAGTAATTTGTTTGATTCTATCATGAGAACATCACTCAGATCCAGTCGCTAAATTCCACTTCGGTTGAGATAGGCACATGAAACTTCTGGAGCTCTTCAATTCCGTAAACGAACTGACATAGTCCAGATTTAGTAGCAATTTGGCAGAGCAGGTGAAGGCGAAGAAGCTGTAGAAAGGACTGTAGATGCGTAGGAGTTGAGAGTAAAAATTGAGAAGCCTTTAATAATAAGGAGTACTACGTAATAAGAAGATTTCCTGTATTTACAAAGATGTCCTTGAGATGAGCGGGAAACAGACTTAGTTCACTTAATAATATATATAAATATATAAATGTCCTTGAGATGAGCGGGAAACAGACTTAGTTCACTTAATAATATATAGATACCAACAAATCTCCATCTGTCACCAGGACTCTCCTACCACTTATATCAGTTAAACAACTTCAACCAATACATCCTAGAGCCTATTTGATGCCGTTGTTATGGAGAGAGGAAAGAGAAAACGAAAGAGGAATGAAGAGATCGAATCAAGTAATGCAGGCGAACAAAGTAAGCACAAATTTAATATATACAATTTAATCTAAAAAGAAAAATACACTTTATTCAAATTATCACAACTTCACCTTCATATTTTATTAAAAAAATTTGAATGTTTCAGGGGCCAATTGCTCATCGACGGGGAAGAGTGGACAACAACAAATTTCAACACAAGGTCATGAAATTCTTCCTTAGCATTTTACTTTTTGCATATTTTATTTGAAGAAGATAAACATTCGCCCAATTACTTGAAAATTAGTGATAAACCTAAGCTCAATAATTCAGCAAAGAAGCATACCTAGATTTTGAGAAGTCAATTAGAAATTTCAAGCAAATTGTCATTCAGCAACCATATTCACTCCATCGTCCCTCTTCCGTCATCTCTCTCGCTATATGAGATTCCCAAAAATCAACAAAAATTGAGCCGCTATACTATATGATTTCGTACAAGAAGAAAGCTACTCATAAAGAATAGGGAGCGTCGGAGAGGAATTGAAGCAAGCGAGATTGACAGGAAAAATGGGCGGCTCAAAGGAGATGAACGAACCCTATTTTTCGGCAATAGGGTTTCTCTCTTTTTGTGGGTTTCTCTTTGTCGGCAAAATGAAAAAAAAGAAAAGAAAAATTGTGCGTTGTAGTGCATCAGTTTACAGAAACCAGTCAAATACTTTCTTCATATTCCTATCTAAATATTCATTGACTATTTTGATAAATGGTTACTTTAATATTAAATTAGTTTAGCTACGTAGTAGTGCATTATTAGTTCAAGTTTAAGAACTTAGAGGTAATTGTTGTAATTGTAGTTATAAGTTGTTATTCCGTTTGACAACACTGTGTTTCGGCTTATCAGGCTTATCAGCCAGCTTTTTCACCAAACACGTAATTTTTGCTTTCGCGCGCCGAATTGGGTAATGAGCAGAAAAATTAAGGTTGGGGTTACGTTTCTGGCTGTATTGACTAAAGTTAATGTAGATGACCATTTTACCTATTTTTGCATATAATTATTTCTTTATTTTATTATTAAAATATAGTTTTCAAATGATTATTTCTTAAATTATCAAAATCAGCCATTGCATCCACTTCACGAAGAACTTCATAAATTTCAGCATAATCAGCTAAAACAGCCAATATTCGTGCTATCAAACGTGCTCTTAGTATAATAAGAGCCCTTAGTATAAAGTATTAGATCCGGTCTTTACATTGTCACAAAATTTACATAATTAGTACTCCGTAGTTTTTTAAGCACATAATTGGTAGTTAATTACTTATATAATAGATTTTTTATTTTTTTACTGAATGGATATCACGTATTTGCAGTTCGGCCTAATAAATACCGATTTATTTTGCCAAGAGGATTGATCCCAAATCAATTCTTACTGTTACCACAACATGCACCGTCCATTGTTATGAATTTTCCGGGTACATTTAACATTTATCTCAATCTTATGAATTTAATACATATTATATGTAGTGTGATTTCCTAACTCTCTCATAAACACACCTTATTCATGTCATTTACAAATAGGCTGTTTTTTTAAAAATTTACCATATTTGAATAGGATATCATGACATTGGGTCTATGGACCACACATGCCAATTTTGCTACTCCAAAATGTGGTATGGAGAGAGACTTTCTCCAAAAGTCAACACCAACAGTCCTAAATTTTCAATGTGTTGTCAAAAAGGGCGGGTTCTTTTACCATCGCTACAACAACCACCTGATTTTCTTATAGAACTATTCAAAGGTAGCGATAGAAGAAGCACAAAGTTCCTGAACAATATTAGGGCATATAATATGATGTTTGCATTTACTTCGTTGGGGGGCAAGGTACAAAAAGAACTCAATAATTCCGGAGGACCCTATGTATATCGAATGCATGGTCAAAATTATCACTTGATGGGAAGCTTGCTACCAGTTGATTCGAGCAAACCTAAGTTCTCACAGCTCTATATTTATGACACGGAGAATGAGATACCGAACAGACTTCGTGCATTAGAGTAAGTTTGTAACACACTTACTTTATTGTCTACTAATATAAATTTATATATTAGGAATGGTATCGGTTTGAATAATTTTTTATATGCATGACTTCTTAACTAAATACACTTCTTAACTAAATACTTATACGGTTAATTAATTACACATGTTTGAATGTCTTTTTTTAGACAATCTGTTTGATTAATCATAGAAATATATGGATAAATTTTCTAACCTTTTTTTAAAGAATAATTTATCTAGCCTTAATAAATTTAAATTAAAGTTAAACAATCCATATTAAAAATTGCCCAGGTAAAATATTTAAATTTATTAGATAATATTTTTTTCATTACACGAATAAATACATTGATATTTTCATTTTTTGTGAATTTAGGAAATCAGAATCATCAAATGAGCTCGATCCAAAAATAGTTCATGGCTTGAAAGATATGATGGACCAACACAATGAGTTGGCGAAGTGCTTTCGTTCTGCAAGGGATAGATTCCAAGAAGCACCACAAACAGAATTCAAACTCAGGCTACTTTGTAACCGTGAAAGAGATGGAAGAACATATAATTTGCCCACTGCATCTGAAGTGGCTGTTCTTATAGTCGGAGATTTGGATAGTATGTCTTCTCACCGTGATATTATTTTGGAGCACAAAGATCGCACTTTGCAACGCATTAATGAGCTCCATCCTTCATATTTGGCCTTGCAATATCCCATACTATTTCCATATGGAGAAGATGGGTATAGATTAGAGATCAAGTATAGACAAGTTGAAGGTAGAGATGCTATCAAACGGAAAGATGTCACAATGAGAGAATTCTTTGCCTACAGGCTTCAACAAAGGGATGTCGAATTTAGTACAATTCTATCATCACGAAGACTATTTCATCAATTTATTGTTGATGCTTATACGATGATAGAAAGTGATCGCTTGAAGTATGTCCGGCTAAATCAAAAGAAGCTAAGAGCAGATGTTTATAATGGGTTAACCGATGCGGTTGTAAGAGGCGAAACAAACCCAAACACTCAAGGCAAAAGAATTATTTTACCATCTTCTTTCACAGGAGGTGCAAGGTATATGATACAAAATTACCAAGATGCCATGGCGATAGTCACACAATTCGGAAACCCGGATTTGTTCATCACATTTACGTGCAATCCCAAATGGCCAGAAATAGAGAGAGAAGTAAAAAAGGCGGGAGTGAGACCAGAAGATCGGCCCGATTTGGTTACAAGGGTCTTTAAGATAAAGCTAAACAATTTGATAGCCGATTTGAAAGATCAGAATATATTCGGCCATCCAAGAGCATGTAAGTTTTACTTTTGACAAAATGTTTACTTTGTTAACACATGCACACAATTTTACTTTTCTTAATAATGGTATTATAGTGTAATATATCTTAGATGGACTAATGGGATGTGTAGGTGGATGTCTAACATAAGATCCAAAGCTCTGACATTTTTAATAAACAGAACTACATTAATTTCATTATAATTAACAAAAAAATTGTCCTGCGATTTTATGATTACATAACTAAAAAAAGGAAAGTTCCCGAAATAGGACTAAAAAAGTTTGAAAATTACAAAATAGGACTGTCATATTTTATATTTCCAAAATAGGACTAATTACTGACATGTTTAGAAAATATTGTCATGTTTGAAGTCTGGTACTACCAAAACATGGCAGTAATTGGTCCTATTTTGGGAATAAAAACATGGCAGTCCTATTTTAGAATTGAAAATTGTTTTAGTCCTATTTTGGGTAATATCTCTTTAACAAATGTCATAAATGTGTATTAGTGAATTATCTTACCATGCCTTACATTATTTTATCACTCATCTACTTTCTCTATTCACGTAATACTTTTTATAAAAAAAATTATTCCATTTATTCAAAAATAAATATGTCTGTCATTTTTATATGGTGACATTTCACTTACTATGATAGTACTATATGTCGCATTTTATATGCAGTGGTCTACACGATAGAATTTCAAAAAAGGGGATTGCCGCATGCCCATATTGTGTTGTTCTTACAACCAGAGTTCAAACTAAGGGAGTGTGATGATATAGACAAAGTCATATCAGCCGAATTGCCGGATCCGAATCTCGACTATGAGCTCTTTAATGCGGTGCAAAGCACAATGATCCATGGACCATGTGGATATCTAAACAAGAAAGCACTGTGCATGGAAAACGGAAAGTGTGGCAAATATTATCCAAGAACTTTTAACCAATTCACAACAGTGCGTGAAGATGGTTATCCAATCTATAGAAGAAGGAATACCGGTATCACGGCCGAAAAAAATAAAATACCGATTGATAACAGATATGTTGTGCCATATAATCCGTACTTGCTCAGAAAGTATCGCGCCCACATAAATGTTGAGTGGTGCTATAAGGCGAGATCTATAAAATATCTCTTCAAGTATGTCAATAAAGGTCACGACCGTGTTACCGCTGCATTATATGAAAAAGATACAGCGGAGAACAACAATGTCGTACATGATGAGATTAAAGCTTACTGCAATTGCAGGTATATTAGCGCCGCAGAAGGTATGTGGAGGATATTGAGCTTTGATATACATTACAGAATCCCGGCTGTTGAAAGATTGAGTTGTCATCTCCCCAATCAGCAATATGTGGTATACAATGAAGATCAAGAAATTGAGCAGGTAAGTTTTGTAAACTGACTTTCAATTAAAATAGTTGAATATAATAATAGTTACTAACAATTTCATTTTAATATTTTCAAAAATAATAGGTGGTGCAGCAGTCCAAAGTACAAAAAACCACGCTCACTGCGTGGTTTGAAACTAATAGAGTTGATCCAGATGGTAGAACACTTTCTTACGCAGAATTTCCCATGAAGTATACATGGAAAGAGAGTGCAAAAGTTTGGGTAAAAAGACAACAACGCTCATGCAATGGGAGAATACATAACATACCTCCGGGATCGGGCGAGTGTTGGTACTTAAGGATACTACTCAATAAAGCTAAAGGATGTCAGTCTTTTGAAGATGTTCGCACCGTGGATGGTGTCGTATACCCGACATACAAAGATGCCTGCCACGCACTAGGTATTATAGATGACGATCAAGAATTTGTTGAAGCACTCGAAGAAGTGAACAAATGGGGAACTGCATCATACTTAAGAACATTATTTGCTACTTTTCTGCTTATAAAGAATCTGCATTCTCCATTGCACGTGTGGACCAATTGTTGGAAGCTTCTTGCAGATGATTTCTTGCATGGTCCAGGAAATCCAAATATAACGTACATTGTCTCAGGTACGCTTCCACATCATTAACAATTATATTGCATTTTACAGAATAAATAGGATTACTATTATTTTTCAATTTAAAGAGTGACATTAGTTTTACATATCATTGTACATGTTAAATTATTTAATTAAATGTATACAATTAATGTTCTTAAATTATTTAAGAGAGCGAGGCTCAAGACAAGGCACTTCAAAGGATCGAAGAGATTCTAAAGCGTAATGGAAGAACATTGGCTGACTTTGAAGGGATGCCTGTCGTAGAACATATAGATGATGGACGAGTAGTTGACGCATTGGTACGGGAAGAAATGCAGTATGATAAAGAAGAATTGTCTAGCCAGCTGATGCAGTTACTTCCATCATTAACGACTGAACAAAAAGAAATTTATGATTGTGTTATTAATGCAATATCTACAGATCAAGGAGGTAGGAAAACTACATAAAATTAATGAATACTTATTATATCTCAATTAATATCTTAAGTCATGCTAAACACGTCACCCGTTATCTTCACAAACCAGGTGTGTATTTTGTTCATGGATTTGGTGGGTCTGGAAAAACATTCTTATGGAATACATTGGCAGCATCTGTGAGGAGCAGAGGAGAAGTGTTGATTAATGTTGCTTCAAGCGGCATTGCGTCATTATTACTTCCCGGTGGTAGAACCTCTCATTCCAGGTTCCAATTTACTCTTCACAACTTCCAATTCAATTACTAATAAAACTACATCACTAAAAAATAATTTAATCGTTAATACTAATGCAATCAAATATCATCATAAATTTAAAATGATTCTGCATACTTCATTTATAATAACTACGTTTATATTAATATTAATAATTTAAGTCTCCAATTATATAATACATAGTATATATTAGCATTAGTATATATTATTCTACAATTCATTCCAGGTTTTCGATCCCATTGAGTATTGCTGAAAATTCAACATGTAATATCAAGTGCGGGAGTCCAAAATCAAGATTATTAATAGCCACAAAATTAATCATTTGGGATGAAGCGCCAATGACTCACAAGTATTGCTTTGAGGCTCTTGACAAGACACTCAGAGATATTTGCTCATCTGTAAATCCAAAGAATGAAGAGTTGCCCTTTGGTGGAAAAATTGTTGTTCTAGGAGGGGATTTTCGACAGACGCTACCGGTAATCCCTAAAGGCACGCGTGAAGAAATTGTCATGTCGGCAATAAACTCATCATACTTATGGGATTATGTTCAAGTCAAGCATCTCACAATAAACATGAGGTTGATGCATCAAAGCAACATGCTGGATAGGGAAGAAGTTGAACGATTTGCTAGGTGGATATTACATATTGGCGAGGGCACTATCGGTAAGGAGTCTGACAGAGGCATTGAAGTTGAAATACCGCCTGATTTGTTGATCCACTCGAATGGGGATAACTACAAAGCCATTGTTGACAGTACTTATCCAGACTTGCACAACAATCTGTCAAATTTTGACTACTTGGAAGAGAGGGCAATCCTGGCACCAACTTTGGAAATAGTAGAGGGCATAAACAACTACATCCTCTCAACGTTACCAGGAGAAGAGGTAAAATATTTCAGCTACGACAGCATATGTCTCACTGCGGCAAGTAGTTCTGGTGATGATGACATATATCCACAAGAATATTTAAACAGCATTTCAATATCTGGATTGCCAAATCATGTGCTTAGCCTCAAAATCGGTGTCCCTATAATGTTATTGCGTAATATTGATCAATCTGCAGGTCTATGCAATGGAACACGAGGGGTGATAACAAAATTGGGGAAACGCATCTTGGAAGCCAAAGTCCTCACCGGACCGAGCAGAGGGAATAAAATATTGATTCCAAGGATGAATCTATGCCCAACAGATACAACGTTGCACATAAAACTTCAGAGGAAACAATTCCCAATTTTAGTATGCTTTGCAATGACCATCAACAAAAGTCAGGGGCAAACACTAGCACATGTTGGACTTTATTTGGAAAAAAGTGTATTCACGCATGGGCAGCTATATGTGGCTGTTTCAAGAGTCAAGAGCAGAAATGGGTTGAAAATTTTGTTGGGTGGAGGAGAAGGATGCAATACAACAACAAATGTTGTATACAAAGAAGTTTTTCAAAATGTTTGATTTTCTTTTATAGCACATCGATGTATGATACTTATCACAAGAATATTTTCATTTCACTATACTTTTGTTACTTTGCACGTTATGAACTTTTTTAAATTACCGTGCTAATATTAATGACAATAATAACAATGATAATAATAATAAATCTTCAGCCACCAATTTTTATCCCTTTCTCATTTCTCAACAAAACTTTAATAATATACCTGTAATATATTATTTTTCAACATAAACAATGTTATTAACCATTTCTATAAATAATTCAAAACATATATTAATATATGCTCTTTTTCCTGCACATTTAATATATGATGGAGTATTATATTTCATATTAACATGACACTACCGGGGCATTGCCCCGGGTGTTACACTAGTATGCAACATAAAAGAGAGAGCACAATGTTTTTACCAGTAGGTTTTGGGAGTATTCTCGACAATTTAAGAATTGAAATATACACGTGATTGATTGAAATTCAAAATGTGCTACAAATCTTACATCGTAATCCGTAGCATACGAGAGTTGAAATATGAATCTAACCCTTTCCATTCAATGAAAATGTTTAATATATGCTACGTAGTATGTTTGATCTCATATTTGATCTCATATGCTTCCATGAGTATATGTTTTTATGCAAGTTTTAGTGAGTTTTTTCCAAAATAATGCCTAATAAAAAAATATTCATGGAATTACAGTACAATTAAAACTATTTACCAAAATACTGCTGGATCTAACTATGATCGGAAAAAGTCGCCAAATGAAAAAGCGACTTACAAACCGTCGATCCGTTTGGCGATTCTTGTATACTAGCACCCAAGGCAAGCTACACAAACGGTGCATCAGTACATGGGGCCCATGATATAAAAAATCTCATTTTTATTTAAAGGTCTATAACTTTTTATTTTTTAATCCAATTTTTATAAAAAATATAGTAAAATTCATAATTTTTTATTCTTTCATATGACACCAAAATTGAATATATAAATTTTAAAAAAATTTAAAGGCTTATTAAACCATCTTATTTTCCAATCTGTATATGGATTACAGAGTATTTCATACAGAGTATTACGGAGTATATACTACCTCCGTCCCCCTAACATTAGGACGGAAGAAGGTGGCACGGTTATCAAGAAAAGTGAGTTTATTTGGTCGATATTGAATTGATAAAGTAAGAATGATTAATAGTCACACAAACTTTACAAAATATGGTATGAGACAATTTTAGTGAGATTTTCCGAAAAGGTAAAATGAGATAATCTTAGCAGGTCGGAGGGAGTATGAAAATAATTTCTATTATATGACGAAACTAAAGAGAGGGGATGCAGATGTAACTTGGCAATATTACGATTACATTTTATATTAGTGTGACTATAAACGTGCACTCATAATAAAAAATGCAAACCACTTAATAAAGGGATGGAGGAAGTATTTTATTAATAACATAAATAAAAATTTATATGAAAAATAGCTAAAATGATTTTCTACAGTAACATCAGTCAATACAACCAGAAAAGTAACTCTTGCCTTACTTTTTCTTATTATTACACAATTTTGCGCTCGAAATCAAAAGTAACGTGTTTGGTGAAAACGTTGGCTAATAAGCCTGATAAGTTGAAAAACAAGCCCACCAAACGGGCTCTTAGTTTTTGCGTTTTATATTTTATATTTTTATAGTTATTATTATTATTATTATTTAAAAAAAAATCTATCAAGCATGGCAAGAGAAATAGTAGGATAAAAATAGTTACTCCTATTTTGAGAATTTAAACATTATGCTCTTATTGCTCAAACAATTTTGTTTTTATTTATCTTGAATTGTCCTTAATTATAATGTGTGTGATGGATCAATGTCACTATATCATTTATTTATGCTCAAACAATCTAATAATAATATTTCACTTGTACCTTGAAAGTGTTATAGAATTAGCCTAATAAAGTACAATTAGATCCTCTTTGACATATCTAAACTTGATGTCATGTTAGTTTTTCGCTAATGCAGCCCATTTTTGTATCGAAGATTCTCATAAAAAACAATTCTTATCAATCTATCAATATTTCCTTTTATTTATTAGAATTATCTATTTTATCTTCCTTTGAAATTGTGAAAAATTAAGTTTTGAAAAGAAACTAGGGATTAGGACACCAATATTACTAAAAATTAACTCACGGACCAAAAGTGACTTTTTCTTAGAATTTCCAAAAATGTGACTAAAAAAGGCTAAAGAGACTGTTTTGCCCTTACTAAACCCATCATACCCTTACTAAAGAGACCAATGCATTTCCGTGGCTGCATTCTCAAGTTACCAATGCAAAGTTACCAACACTTAGTGACCCAGCTCCAGTTACATCCCGACTCCAGTGACATCAGGACTATAGTGACACCCGGCCCCTGTTACCACCCCGATCTTAGTGACCATCCCGAACTAGTTACCAATCCGACCCTAGTGACCAAACCGACGCCAGTGACCAACCCAATAGTGACATCCCGCCAGTGACCACAACATCCTTGATGCCGCCGTCCCCGACCATTGCCACCCCTGACCACAACTGCCCCTAGCTAACCAACCCCGTTGTTGTCCCACCTGTCCAATTCGCATCGGGCCCTTGTCCCCCAGCCCCTACCATGTCACACTAGACTAGCCATTGATCTTGCCCCTGCATCACCAGCCCCCACAACAACCACCCCATGTCGGCATTGTTGGAATAAATCCGATAATACTTTATTCTTCATATTGAAATTATCTAGAGAAATTAACTGAGCGGAAGCGTACCTGACTCCATGGGAGATGATCTTTAGGGATCCGGGAGACAGAGGCTAGGGTTTGCGTTTTCTAGTTGATACACACCCTCGGGATTATCTCTCTAGCGATGGGATGCAGAAAGACGGAATGACGTGTACAACTAGGGACCATAACCCTTTATTTATAGAGAGTGCTTAACCCTAATCAGCCCATCATTGATTAGGTCAAGCCCATGGGTCTCTACACATTTGGGCCCTATACCTTATTAGATAACTTATTAGCCCACTTAAATTAATATTCATAGGACCACTAATTTTTGGGCCTAAATATAAGATGGCATATAACATACAATTAAACCCGATAAATAATGTATTGTGAATATTACATGTAGTATAAGTCCAATAATCTAACAATCTCCCACTTGGACGACATACACATGAATACACACAATCCTTAGCATTGTATGTTTACTTTAGGAGCTCCAAAATTTTGCTATCAAACTGTAGTCATCTTTAATCAATCCGGTTCATTAATTATATCCACATAGGATCAAAGAAGTCTTTGTTATATTTGAATAACTAGACCCATCAATAATCACATATATTAATATAATAAACGACATGGATCAAGTATAGGTGTGTAGCGTGGAAATAACATAAAGTGTGGTCTGGAACAGAATGTCTATTTCCAACTGGTCCACCTTGAGATCAATAATATAACTGTAAGAGTACATAAAACTTTAAACTTTACTTCTGCAGAAAATAACCTTAAAAACTTGAATCAAGTCAATTAACCAAATATAGAAACATTACAAACTCCCACTAAAACTCATAATCCTCAATTGATTTGACACCCATTTGTGCAACATGCTCATGAAATACTTTGGGTGATACTCCTTTAGTGAGCGGATCCGCAATCATGGAGTTTGTGCTAATGTGCTCTATAGATAACTTTCCTTCTTGTACTCGTTCCTTAACAGCCTTAAATTTGACCCCAATGTGTTTTGCCTTGGTCAAACTACTGTTGTTCTTAGCATAGAGGACTGCTGATCTATTGTCACACAATAGCTTAAGTGGTCTTTCAATGCTGTCCACTATGCGTAGTCCTCTAACAAAATCTCGCAGCCATAATGCCTGATTGGATGCCTCATAACATGCTATAAACTCTGCTTCCATGGTGGAAGTAGCTGTAAGAGTCTGCTTGATACTCCTCCAGGAGATATCTCCTCCAGCTAGAATATAGATGTAGCCTGAAGTGGATCTCAAGCTATCTTGACATCCAGCAAAATCAGAGTCGGTATACCCAATGATCTCAAGCTGATCCGATCTCCGATATGTGAGCATATATTCCTTTGTTCTCTGTAAATACCGCATGACCCTTTTGGCTGCTTTCCAATGGTCCATTCCCGGATTGCTCAAATATCTGCCTAACATCCCAACAATGTATGCCAAATCAGGTCTTGTACAAACCTGGGCATACATCAAACTTCCTACAGCCGAAGCATAAGGAATGTTCCTCATTTCTTTAGATTCAAAACCATTCTTAGGGCACTGCATGAGACTAAACTTGTCTCCCTTAGAAACTGGGGTATCTCCTGATTTGCAGTCTTGCATACCAAACCTTTTGAGAACCTTATCGATATAGCTCTTTTGTGAGAGTCCAAGAACGCCTTTGGAGCGATCTCGGTGAATTTGAATTCCTAATACAAAAGAAGCCTCACCAAGATCTTTCATTTCAAAATTCTTTGAAAGAAATCTCTTAGTTTCGTGTAATAAACCTATATCGTTAGTAGCAAGCAGTATGTCATCAACATACAAGACCAGGAAAATATGCTTACTCCCACTGAACTTGTGGTATATACAATCATCACTGACGTTTGGTTGAAAACCAAAAGATATAATGACTTTATGAAACTTGTGATACCACTGACGAGAAGCCTGTTTGAGCCCATAGATGGATTTCTTTAATTTGCAAACCATTTTCTTTGAATCTCTCGAAACAAAGTTTTCTGGTTGCTCCATATAGATTGATTCCTCAATGTCACCATTGAGAAATGCAGTTTTTACATCCATCTGATGAAGCTCAAGATCAAAATGTGCCACTAATGCCATTATTGTTCTAAAAGAGTCTTTCGAGGATACCGGAGAGAAAGTCTCTTTATAGTCAATTCCTTTCTTTTGAGTGTAGCCTTTAGCAACAAGACGAGCTTTAAACCTTGTAACATTGCCCTTTGAATCCCTCTTGATTTTAAATATCCATTTACAACCAATGGGTTTAATACCTTCAGGCAATGAGACTATCTCCCAAACGTCATTGTCACTCATAGACTTCATCTCATCTTTCATGGCATTAATCCATTCTTGAGAGTTAAAACTTTCCATGGCTTGACGAAAGTTGATTGGATCATCTTCCGCAAAACCAAC